GAACTCCCTTTTTGGTGGACCACACGTAGTGATATTCGCTCCTTACCACACTATCTTTGAAGCTGAACATATAACTGCTGAGACACTCAAAATTGGTGAACGCGAAAAATATTAACCGTTATAGAATAGAAGGGCCATGAAATCGTGGTCACTATGTGTAACCTCTCGCTTTTCTACAAATCATATTACTCTCTCCCCAGACCAAATGTACTGTTCAGAAATCCTAGAGATTATATTGATGATTATCGCAATAGAACCAGGCAGAGTAGACTGTGATGTGACTTCCAAGTAAGACCTTAAAGATTAAGTGGTCACATTATGACAAATCTACTTTTAGGATTAAGTTTGTTATAACCTGAGGCCTTGTGCCTTATTAATATACAACGTAATGATACCGCCAATTCGAGGACAGTGACTTATCAACCGGACCAATGACACAAAGCCGTACGAGCCGTCTAGAGTCCTTATCGGTCCTTCTTCCTGCCTGTTGAGTCCAGAACATAAATCTCAGCCTCCGCATTATGAATCATATATTTCAAACGTACTGGGTTTATATAAAAACCAAACAGACCAGATCACACCATAAAGTAGAAAATAACATTTGTACAAGATTTAACCAAAAGTGGCTATGAATGTGGGAGACTGCAATTGATAGACTGGGCATAACTTAGGAATGGTAAATCGTATAATAATATTCTGTAGGTCAAAATAAAGCCTATTACAAGAGGAATATATATACATAGGTTAGTTACTTAACAATTATACAATAAAAAGATATGTGTAGTATTAGTCCACAAACAGATCCCAACGGTATATGACACTGTCTACCATCATAGTGACAAGAATAAATGAAATAATACTAAACAAGTCCATAATTCTACACACTTCTCTTCGACAATTAGCTCGTCTTATATTTTACCTTACTGAAAACTTGGGGTTTTCTGCCCGATAGCAGACTTCTGCCTTTTTCGATCGCCTGATTGCACCAAATTCATTAAGCACACACCGAACTGAAGGAATCTCGCTGAGTAACTATTCAGACATTCGCGTGATTTTCATACGTATATTCAAACCCACATAATATCGTCTTTTAAACAAAGTTGTTATCTTTTGATTTACTGGTGTTCTGTTGGTAAGCGACAGATAAGCCTAGAAGTTATGCAGAATATTCCGGGATCATAGGGAATTCGAATGTAACAATACTTATAAAAAATTCCTCCTTTAATGTTCGATAGACTAAGGGTAAAATAATAGCTGTGGGGTTTCGATGAAATCTCCAACGCAAAATTTGGTTCATGTCTATTACTAAGAAATCATCAATAAGTATAGTTATCGATAATCCCACGCAGATACAAGAAGGTGATATATCGCCTGTACTATTCAGATTACTAATGTGGTCGACATATTTATAGAACTGTATTACAGTATCAAAATATAAAGAATTGTACAAAAGTATTGACAGCTGTTATTCGCAAACATAAGTGGTATGATTAAATCAAATAAACGTTGGACAAATAACGAAGATATTCAAGATTTAAAGCACATCTATTTTCCAATAATATTTCATCTGGATTGTTAGCATTGAGTTCAGGATTATTGATTCGAGCTGTAAAGAGAAGAGTGAAACTGATGTAAATGCTAGGAACGACGTATGCTTAACCAAGAAAAGAACAGACTAATCCTTATTTTTATAATAACAGCACGTAGAAAATGTACCAACATGTGATTTTAGTAAGGTACATATGAGACGTTATCCGCCACAACATATTGACAATCACTGTTGATAGTATGTCATCTATCAAAAGATGTACACAATTTTGCAACTTTGTATAGATCTTGATAATGCATGGCAGCATGGAATATTCGTCAGTACATCATTTATCATGAGAAATTACCGAACAAGACGATCTACATTAGGAAGCCATGGTCGCTTTCTACTTCAAAAAGGTCTCTTTTGGTATGTACTCATGTTCATGCATCTATGTTGAGTTGAGAATTTTACACACACCTCTAGGATGACTTCTTTTTCAGTTCAATATCTTATCGTACCTTACACGTAACCTACTTGCCGATGTTGAGAGGTATTTTGGAAGTAGTTCGTAAGCGATCCAAATAGTTATATAATCGTTTTTGAACTACGTGTCACTAAACTTATTATTAAAATGAATTATTTATAAAATGACTTTAAACTTTCTTTCAATGTTAAAACCAAAAGAAGACATTTTATTTCGCCCAGTTTCTCAACTCTCCCTATGTTTCGTGGATATATGAAGGTAAGCTTTCTCTTTATCCACATAAATCTGCATTTTTAAGTTTAACTGGTTTTGTGTGGTAAGCTGTATTAACAGTACAAAGCGAGCACTCTGGAAATTGATCTCCTTGATTATGAAAAAAAGATCAACAGAGACAGTTAATAGTTTAGCATTTCGTAAGGACTAGCGAAATTGCCCTGCCAGAATTCTTCTTTAAAATCACTCATAAATTCAAAAGAAGGGGTTTGAAGGGATTAAAAATTAGGAACTTACTTACAACAGAGGCCTTGGTAATACACCTATTCTAGTTTAATCTGTGTACCGAAACCTTTCCAATCTTCCACTTTACAGTGGTTTAAACACCGCTCCTAGCTTCCATACTCAATAACCTACTGTCTTTATTGTTGTATTTTTTTCTTCAGAAGTGAATTAACCATTACTAAAAAATTTATTTAATCTGTTCTTCATAATCATTAAAGGAACAATTATCTCACTTGTATAAAATGTTTTCATCTTAAAAACATCTAATTAGCTGTTAGATTGTTACGTAACCTCTTTCAACATTTATACCTCCATATAATTTATCAATCAATGCTACTCTCTACATATACAGTTTCTTAATATTCAACTCGACAAAAATCTGTCATATATTAAAGCAACAGAACAATTATTACCTTTAAACTTGGTAGACTGTAAAAGGGCACCACGATTTGAAGCAGAACGTTCGAGTGCTGATAGTAACCGAATATTCCATAAATAAGGAATTAAACTATCGGGACAATCTAATGTAGTATGAAGAAGTGAACCTCCACAAGATCCACGTAAACAATCCGCAGAAGTACTGTTATCAAAAGAACATGGTTGTTGGTTTATTACTGCAGTACTAAAAGTATCTATTTGAGTTATTGGCCAACCATTAGAATTTTCACCTAGACTATTAATAATTTGAATGACATTATCCACAAGAGATTCATCAGAGGATGGTCCGAATTGTGAAAGAACAACACTTTCATAAAATAATCCGAGATATTGAAGACAACACATCATACGAAACACCAACTTAATAACATGAAACAAAAACATAAAAATAAAATTATATTCTTAAATGACATCGGAATGATGAAGAATTATGCATAAGTTTCGTAGTTTTAGTAGTGTTGTGTCCTCTGAGTTGGATGGTTTAATTACGAAATTTCAATTTTTATGATTGAAAGCAGAATCTTACTTTGGATAAAAGTTAGTGATAAATTAGTCCATTTTCAGGAGTAAGTTAGTGATATCATTTGCCAGCTTACATCTATAGCAAATTAGCCTAGAATAGCAACTGAGATTTCACAATTAAGCCATCCAACTTAAAAAGAACAATATCATCCCATCATTAAATTTGGACAATAGTATTTTAGGTAAAGATAAATAGTACATGACAGTAGGATCTAGAATGTGCATATTGTTCTGTTTAGGACTTTTCAGCTCGATGTACCTGGATGTTCACTACGATACTCAGACCTACTACCCTTCGCTTTAAGCGACATCGCGTTATCCACTTAGCTGTTGAGTTCAGATAACCACTGGTTTGTAAGATGAAAATTTTAATTCATATATATACTGGCTGTTTGAATCGTCCAAATGACGTTTAGGACTGCGATTCATCAGCTCCAACTGCTAGCCACCATCCATTTCTAAGCTCAAAATGCGTGTGACTTAACGGCAATCACGAGGCTATCCGTACAGGGTTCACGTATCAGTTGCAGCCCTAAACATCAATCCGAAGACTAAATGAACTAATATATATTAATTCAACACTAGTAGCTTTTGTTATAGTAGAAAAAAGATGACAGATTCGCAAAATACAATCAACAAAGCTAATGAGCTGAAACAAATTAAGTTTATTATAGATGAGAAATATTGTACAGATCTACGAAGTTTGTAAAACTGAACAGATGAAATGTATAGATTTAAAGTCCACGATAATACATAGTAATGTGTAGATGTATGCATCAGATGAGAGTATTTGAATTAAGTATTCTTAATAATAAAAGGACAATGACTTACAACTTAAACTTTACACACTGATACTATGTAAATGAATATGTAGAAAAGATTATCATTGAAACAAAGACATCATAAAAACGACAAAGTCTATCCATTTCCACATACAACTGACTATAGGTTATCATACACAAAAGCAGTAAATTAACAAAATCCATATATAATAAAAACACTTACCCAACAAAATCTAAATAGAAAGGTAATGATTTGTGGGAAGGGTGGATGAGGAGAATCTATTAAATCCATTTAAACAACTAATTAGTAGTAACCTTCTGGTGAAAATTTCACTCAAAAAGAAGCACAGAACTAAAATATGTATATACTGTGGGCGCTCAGTCAAAACTGTTATAAAAATTTTTAGCGTAATTACACCAGCTACTATTAAAAAAACCCAGATACAATATAACTGTTTTCAGACAATGAAGTAATGGAAGTTATACATTAATAGGGCACAAGTTATAATACGACCGCATATATATATGAACCGTCACAATAATAAAACCGTAATACCTCTTTTGTAAAAAAGACTGATAAAACATTCTTTGAGAATGCGTCCGTGACAACGCTACCAAATTCGAGATATGTTGACAAAGCTTGACGGTAATTTTTCACGAAAAATTCTATTTCACCACGTAATATAAGCCAATCTATCCTTTCAGGTCGAGCAGTTAAACCCCAATTTAAGAAATAATTCAGGTGATCACATAACGATTTCCCACAGATCTATAAATATAAATGTAATTACAAAAATTGGTGTATCTTTTAGAAAAAGTTAAGACAGTAAAACTACACTACATCGCCAAACCGACAAGATACTAGACAGCACTTCCTGAACCCTCGCGTGAATTCAAAACACGATCGGATAGCTTGTACCTTATGAACAGGTAGATAATAATTGTCGATATTTAATTATTAAGACGATCAAATGTGCAACCACACCCGACTAATGTGACGTGTTATGTAAGACACTATACCAAAACCATCGGCTCTTTGTGCAGACTGCATCCAGAATGCTAATTAATTAATGACCCTAGTAATCGATGAGTTCTAGAACATAGTCAACAGTGGTTTGGGCAGCTAAAAAGTATTCGCAAACTAACCAACTCCCAAATTTAACATTTTTCGTTTGTGATTATCTATAATTCCATATGTCTGGGTTCAGATAAATCTTGACACCAATACATCTAAACTGTCTTCTTGGCTGGTTTTGATAACTCCAACTAATTCTCCATGTTAACTGAAACATTAGAGAGAGGGTAAGAATTGCAAATAAAACTTTAATTCAAGGTTAGTTTGTGTACAGAAAAATGAGGGTATGTACAGTCATATGAGACCTAGGACTTCTGGAACCACATTAAATATGGCAGCAGCGTAGGTAAATTTCCAAACAAAACCGTGGGACGTGATTCTGCATTTTCTGAATGTTTCTGCAAAGACTCTATTCAACGCTGACTGGATATAAAATTTCATGACGTTTCTGGGTGTCTAGGGGCTTTGACGAGGAATATTTCGGTCTTCTCTGATACGTCCACTAATCCTTTTAAAACGTCTTATAGACCGTAATGTTATTACTTTTTACTTATAATTGTTTCAGAACTAAACTCTGTCTTCTAATAGATTGATGGGTTGTTCAAGGTAGTCTCCGTAGTGTACTTTTACCAAAAAGACTATTAGAAATAAGAAATTTGTTTGTTTATATTTTATGGGTTGATAATCACTAGAGCACTTAACTGTATTTTTATGATGTTTGTTTGAAATAATAGTTACTGCATACATTATTCATGGCTTTACTTATTACTTATAATTACAAAAGACTACCTTTCACATAGGTTCACGATCGTCATGTCTTTAAGTGCCGGCGAACTTGTAGCCGCTAAAGTGAGTCTTGGACAGATTCGACTATATCTTTTCGATACAATATATCAAATACCATTAATTATTCTAATCTTACCTCTAAATACCCACAACTCTGACTCAGTTTGACTTTGATGAATCCTGTGATAATCAACGGAAATTGTACTCTTTTGATAAGTATGATTGGTTTCTGGAGTTATTCTTCTTATTCTACTTTTCCTTACTATTTAGTATGCGCTTTATTCTCCATTTTTTCTCATTGACTAAATTCCCCATTAGTGTAGGGAGATTATGGAGATGGTTGAATTTGATAGTTTACTTCACGGACTGATTTCAGTCAGAGAAACGTTAGACACTTCTACCACGATAGTGATTAAAGTTAAATACGTGTAACATTGGATGCTAACTTGATAGACTGTGGATTAAGCACACACCGCAAGATTTGAAAGTCTCGGGTCTGATCCCCAGTAGACTCATACTGTTTAGAAATTTCATACAAAAACGAAACGACTGTCCAGTGCTTCCATATTCGTGCTGGTTATCTAACTAAGATCAGTTCATTATATAACTTGTAAATTTCCTTTCTCATGTACTAATTGCACCAATTTACGTTATAGAATGAGATGAATTATGAACGATTAAGTTTTACTTGTTTTACGCAGTACTATGACAAGTGTTTTGGTAACTAGCTTGTATGCAAAATAAATATAAGTATTTCATGAATGACAATATTAATTGCTGCATTCACTGAGAACTGGAATACAAGAGTCAAATTTCTTTATAAAACTGTAGCTTTCTAGCTAAAACAACGGAAGTCCAAAGCCTACGTCAAAAATTAAACATTCAATCCATAGCTAGACAATAATAACATTAATTACATCACACACGAAGAAAAATTATGTCATTAAGCCAATTATATAAACTTGTATTCAGTATATAAATGAGTTATCATATAAATCGAATTATCTATTATAAATATAACATGTATATAAACAGACTTACTGAAGAATTCGTTTCCAAGTCTAAAATCCACAGTTGTTTATCTAGAAACGACACACATTCATGACTGTCAGAATGATATCGTTTATTACTATTATTATGTTTTTTAGTAGTGGATAAATTATCTTTTGGTTTATCCCATCTAGAAGATCGAAATCTAGTAGTAGACTGTGAATCAGTAGATGTATTAGTAACACTGGTGGTGATGGTAGTAGTTGTCCCTTTTGTTGTAGTTAATGTATCTTCATTCACTTGTTCATTAATTTTTATATTTTCTACATTATTAACTGTATTAAAACAATTAATTATTTGTTCTAAAATTTGTAAATTAAATTTTCCACAAATTTGATGTGTAATTTGAGCAAACCCAATTATTAAATAATCTAATAATTGTAATCCAATAAATGAATAATTAGAAAGTATACGTTTATTATCTAAAGGAAATTTAAGTCCAACAGTAGACATTAAAAGTGAAATTTCATCTATTGTTGCTAACATTTCACCTATAATGTATAAACTAGACAAACTGATCCCAGAACGATTAGATAATGTATCTGTAAATAAATAAATAAATAAATAAATAAATAAATAAATAAATAAATAAATAAATAAATAAATAAATAAATAAATAAAAACTTTACATACAATATTAATAATGAAATTTAATATTGGAAAATATACAAACTAATTGTCAAATTAATAACATTGATCTTAGTTAAAGTACTATAGAAGACTAGGAAGCATTGAATAGATGATTTGTTCTAGTTTGAGACTTTTTAAAAGTAAACATTCACAACCTCACCAAGAATTGAATCCAAGATATTCAGTTTTTATGGTGAACGTCTAACCATTAGAACCACTGCATCTACAGTTAACGGGACAGTTTCAAATTTGGTCAATCTCTGTAATGAATTGCTACAGTCCTCCATTGTTAATGAATAAAGTTGTTTTGGCTTCAGACATTACTGCACCCCATCTATTCAGTGGTAGCCTGATTTTCAATGTTACCTGAAATGAGACCAATCTTTGACAAATACAATCTATACATTAAACTAATTATGATGAATCCATTCAGTTAATTGTAAAAACTATTTATCAAAATTATGCATTGAGTCTTATTGTGAAGTGAGGTCTACAATTGTTAAAAAATTATTATTTTAGATACTTAAAGATGAGTAAACTACATTATAAAATGATTATTTTTCGTAAAAGTAATCTACAAACATCTCCTACAGTCTGTTCGTAAATTTATTTAGCGCCAGAATTACATAAGGATTTGTAGTGTCACTTATTATTTTAGGCCCATATATCTTATTCTGGCTTTCGGACAGGCCAATCTATTCATTCTACTTGAGTCATATGTTGACCGTGTTAGTTATTCGCTTACCAGTCTTCATTGTTTTTATATGAGCGTATATGTGTGTACACTTCTTATCCCATGTCTCATCACATGTCTGTAGCTTATTTTTGTCTGCCTATAAATATTAATTAACGACTGAGTAAAAATGAGTTGGCTTACCAGCCATCTCCACTCTGCATCGCTTCTCTTCCTGCTACTCCATTCACCTCATATACAAAATATATGTATTCGAAATCCCATTCTCGTTATTTGACTTATTTAATTCCGTTATTGACTAACGCGATTTAAGTCGACGATTATATACGAGAATAGGCGATAACAAACATTCGTACGATCTAAATGGGAGTCAGATCCACGGGCCACTAAAGATTTACAAGTAAAAATCACCAGTGCTGCTTGATTGTTACAAACCAGATCTGACTACAATTCACGAGTTGACTCAACATCTAGGCTGCTAACAAGATAAACGAAAGTCAAAGATTTGCTAATCCTTCCAACGAACAATACCACAGAGAAAAATATCCAGATATCTATAAGTGCTTTGCTATGTTTTTAGAACCCAGCCAATCAGGATATGAGTGTCATAGGTGCGGTTTAAAAATTCAAATTGATCATTCATTAAACTCATCTTGACTGGTTCTCGTATAATTTTCACAAAACAATTCATTTCCCAACAGTAATAGATAAAACGATGATTAGTCGTCTAACGATTAATCAAAGAGAAACGGAAACTAGTCAACATCATTCATAAAACACTTTTGCAAACATATATGCTAACCTGGATGGTAATTTCGAGAACTACGTTGGTGTTGTTGTTGTAGCACGGATTGTTCCGATCCAGATAATGCCAAATTATTTATTGTATCTATAGAATTATTTGCAGAGACAAGGCATCCATGAATAATTAATCCATAAAATTCATTTATAACAGTTTTTAGTCTATCTGCATTACCAAATTTAACAGTAGCGCTTAAAATGTTTTTGATTGAATGGTTAGAATTTTGTTTTTCTGAATTTACATGGGAGTTTGTTGTTGTTGTTGTTGTTGATGATGATGATGATGATGATGATGATGATGTGGTTGTTGAATTGGAACTTTCATGAGACACTGATGATGAATGTAATACTTCATGAAAATGTAAAAGAATACGAATCAAATCTAAGGAACCAGCACATGCGACACAAAATGAAATACTTCCGGAAGGTAGTGAAATAGATTTTGATGGAATTGACATGGGATACAAGAAATCACATTCCTAAGACAGGAACAGAAAAGAGTATACAAAGTGGGAAATTTTTCTTACTATTATCATGGACAAACTTTGTTGTTACGCTGTAAGTTATTAGTAATAGAAATATAGAAATAAACCAACTTAATGTTTCAAATGGACAAGGCTTATATATGTTACACACTGACAAAAATCAATATATAATATCCAGTTGTACCAACCAGCAATAGATTTATTTTCCATTATTTGAATCCTTACTGGAATAGGATACCAGGAAAAAATACCAAATCGGTTGAGGTTGGAATCTTTATCAACTGAAATGATTTAAGACATTTACCAAACATTTTCGATCACTACCTACTTCAAGGTGCGATGTCATCCGATGTGGGAATAGGTTGGAAGAAAGAGAATAAACGGAGATACGGCACTGGTCCATGGAATTTTTAATTGCTGATCATACCCAAGCTGGTAGGTACAGACTACTTGGTTAGGGTCTGTACGGTTATTGTGGCCAGAAGTTGAAGATAATAAGTGATGTGGCTTAGAATCGACCAAGATGGTGCAAATGCACTGGCTCTTCATCATTTTCTCTAGGTCTTGAGTTGAAGTATTCCTTCACGCATACTTTTAGATCCCATCTTTTTGTATCATACTTTCAATGTTTAGTCTTTCAAATTATAACTGCTACTACATTCCTTTGCTATTCATCTTGTTAATTTTATCTCATCCTACCTTTCTATAATAGAAAAACAAGAACCAATGCACATTTATACCAAGCCCTACGTTGATTATAACGGAATGACTAACAGACTTGAATGTTTTTTTCTTCAATGGTGAAAATGAACAACTGAATACAATACTCAGCATACCTTACAACAAATTCAGTACTATTTTCAGTGAAAAGTTAAAATAGGAAATTCCCATAGAACGATAGTAATCTGTTGCACTGATTTCCAGTGACTGATGAAACATCATTCTTCAGATGAACACAAACTAATGTAATTCATAACCCAGATTTATTGTACATAAGACATCATAAGTGAGTGAAAGGACACTGAGAAAAATGAATTTCAATATGAAGAAAAATTCGTTTTTACCTCAGGCTATAAATAACAAACACAGTTTAATCCGTTCATAGTAGTTTGCTTTTTTTTCTGAGTACTGTACAACTATGACTTAGTGATATCAACACAAATATATGCATACATACAAACTGTGTTGAAGATCAGTGTTACATCAATTGAATTCTTAATCTTTAATAAATGAACGGATTACAAAATTCATAATCGAGCAACTAATTCGCAGTCTTATAAATAACTAGCAGGTTTAAACTGAAAAACTAATGTTCATGTACTCATCTATTACCCATAAGCAAGTAATATTACATCGGCAAACCTATTTTAGTAATACTTTCAAGCTGAGCTACAATAACCTCAAGATAAAAATGATATCATTCACTGCAAGTAGAAATGGATGGTAGCTAGCAGTAGGATTCAGGACTTGTCAGCTCAATGTACATGGATCGGAGATTTGATGCTCACTTCAGGACTCCAACCCAGTATCACTTGCTTCAAACGCCATCGTGTTATCCACTTAGCTACTGATTCTAGGTAACCACTGGTTTGTGCAATGAGGTGAAATTTAATTCATTTGTACTGTTCGTTTGAATCTTCCGATTGACGTTTAGGACTGAAATTGATCGATGGGAAGATCCGAACAAACAATACAAATGGATATCATTTACTGTTTCGTAAGATAAAAATTAGGAGTATAAAGGTAACACCATAAAATATCCGAAAGTAAAACGGCAAGTATTGTTCCATTTAAATATTGTCAATAACCTGATACATAATTACACACAATACGACTAAGTTTGTCACTGATTACTCTACACAGTGGCCATATACTCACATGAAAACACTAACAACGAAGTATAATTTTTTACGAAATACAAGTATATATATATATAATATATATATATATATATATATATATATATATAATATATATATATATATATATATATATATATATATATATTGTTTTGAAGCATGTCATTTGCATGAGGTCTAGTTGTACTAATCAGGTAACTAAAATCAAAGCAGGTGGAGCGGGGAGAGCCCATGTTTAAACCTGCAATCTGCTAGTTGAAAGTCAAGTGTTTTAACCACCAAGCCCTTGACCCACTTAAATCAATAAAGTATTCATTTACAGGAAATTAGGGTATAACACTACCATTACTACTACCTCATAACAAGGTAGAGATTTGTGTGCTTAGCTTCCAGAGCTATATTTTAAATGTGAGTGTTGCTAAAACCGAAAAGTATGTCGGGCGGTATTCAAACCTGCAACTTGGTAAATAAAAGTTGAACTCCTCAACTATCTATCTACTGACTGACTACGATAACTCTACACAGTTCAACAGATATATTATAGTGAACATTGAAAATTTACAACTCACTTTGACCATTAACAAGAAACAAGTGGCTGCAGCAATTAACTCCTTAGACAAAGCAATCAAGTTCATGGATTCCATTTTTGTTTCTAAAGAATTCGCATTTGATGATAAACCAGCAGCATAACACAGACAAATTTTAACTCGTCTAATTAGATCATTTAATGACACTTGTCCAGGATGAAGAGTTGATTTTGTAATTGAATGTGACTGATTATTATTTCCACCGAAATTATTAAATGAAGATGGATTCAAGAATTCCTTATTTTATTGTTTTAATTTGAAAAAGACAATAACATTTAAAATATATTTTTCATAATTTACAATTAACTAAATGAACTTAACATCACTAAATAAGACAAGTTAGATAACAGATTTTTCTAACATATACACATAAATGAAACAATACCTATGAATCATAAACCTAGGAGTTCATTCCAATTGTCTTCAACCAGGTAATCAAAAGATATATTAACACCATTATGAAACTGGTAAAACTTTCTATTCGATTATTAAAATAAAGAGAACTAAACTTGAAAAAGGTGTAAAAATGGAGAACAAACAAAATCAATCAACACGCCTATATTGTCAAGATCTTACGTAAGTTTATAACGAATGCTTTAAAATATAAAACCATCATCATTAATGAAACAAATCATAAATAATGGTTTAACATTGTTTAAAAAGAAACTGAATAACACTTGATGACTTGTAGCAAGTAGAGTTCGAAAAACTGGAAAAATAGAGGTAATATTATCCAAAATTGATGTGACTCAAGTTAAGTCGACACACAAACACAATAGTAGATTAGGGTTATGGGTGAGCACTACTGAGACCCATAATACGACGAAACAAACTGTTCAGTGTTTCCTATTTTCCACTAGTTGTCTAAGGTTACGTTGCTCCTACAGCAGTCATGTAATTAGTGACTGAACACTGTAACACGCGCTTTAACCTTAAAATCTCATCAATAGATTCATTTATCTTACCGGAAAATGTAAGCCCATGCCGAATATTATTAACTTAGCAGTTCCACATCATGAGGAAACACTTAAACGCTTTCAAAATCCATAACTCACATATACATATAAAGGGAATTCTATGAACCCATTCAGGAGAGATCCAATGCTTTAAAACTTGTGAAACTACGAAAAAGTAACACTGGCAAATAGATGAATTTCAATAAACTTACCAGTAAGTCAACCAATAATAATTCATGTCTGATACCAGCACGAATCCATTGAAAAGCATCGCACGGACGTGATTGTTTCCCAACTACATGACCGGATGTTGTTGTAACATGATTAACAGATGATGACGATGGAGGCGGTACGATAGGATTAATTGACGCCAGATTATTTAAAGCAGCAAGTAGAAAAGCCCTAGCTCCTGTGAATGGTGACATTTCATGACGAATTATGGATGAACCTTTAGCCAATTGTATTAATACTGTAATCCCCCACATAATATTTCCGGATGATGATAGCAATAAATCGATTGGATTGGTTGACTTAAAGTGAGACACAAAAATAGCAAAAATAATGTATATTTTAACACTTTGACCACATTGTTTGACCATAGATTAATGACTAAAATTAGTCGGTCATTCAAACGCAAGGTAGAACCTGGTACGTGTATAGCTCGGCTGAAGTTGTCACACCCCATTTAGCACAGGAGAGATGAAATTGTCATGGCAAATCCCAGAGTAATATAAGTAGTAACAGTATTAGTGGTAATAGAAAAGACAAAGTATCGAAAATAATGATTCAAGAAAACATAAATCTGTGAAATAAAAAGATCATGAGGAATTTAACAAATTAGGATTTAAAAAACAAAGAGTGAATGCATCTGAGCCGCTTAAAAAAGATTTTGAGCAATGTCATTCAAGGTCTCTAACCACTGGTTACGATAGTCACGCGGACCCCAACCAAGTAGTCTGCATCAAACAACATAGCTAAGGCTGGAAGTTAGTGACTTCAAAGACTGACGCCGCATTTCGGTTTGGCCTCCCCTAACACTAGTCGGCACTGCACGTCATGGTAATCGGTTTCAGGTATACGTAACGCGTGGTCCAACCATCTCAGTCGATGTAGATTCACAACCTCATCAACTGACTTACCATCATTCCCTAATACCATGCGTCTAACCTCACTATTACTTACCCGATAATCCTAGCAGATGTCAGCAATATTTCTAAGGTATTTGTGGTCAAATACCAGTAGCTTACGAATATCTTTACTATTAGTGGCCACGTTTCGATGCCATAAAGTAGAGGAGAATGAACTGCTGCGCATTATACTCGTCCCTTAATTGATAGACGGATATCTAACCTCCGTCATAGGTGACGTAAGTTGGCAAAAGCCAAACGAGATTTCCGAATCCGTACAGACATTTTGTCAGACACCAACCCATTAGGGCTGATCAGACCTCCAAGATAAGTGAAGCTGTCGATGCGCTCGACTACTTCACTGCCTACCCTCAAGTTCAGGTGTTGACCCAGGCCAGTCCTGAAGCAACAACTTGCACTACGCAACATTAGCCGTCGGGATAGACAGTGGTCGAACATACGTAAAACAAGACCCAATCACCTCAATCGATGAAGACTTACCACCTTATAAATTAATCTGCCATCTTTATCTAGCATTCCATTCCTAATCCCAAGATTTCTTACTCGATGGTCTCAAAATATACGAGAAATGTGCTTCGAAGACACCTACGATCGAACATTAGTAAAGTGTAAAGATTCTTTTCTTAGTGACTATATTTCACACCCAAAAAGTAGAACGTAGCGAACTGCCGTAAAGTAAACTCCTACTACGGTTGATAGACGGATTTCTCACCCACGACACAAGTGACGCAATTTGGTAAAAGCAAATCGAGCCCTCTGAATCCGTGCAAATGCTTCGTCGGACACCAACCCATAGAGACTGATGAGACTCCCAAGATAAGTGAAGCAGTCGACACATTCAATATTGAAGGAATGATGTAAATCACTTACAAAGTACAAATTTATAAATCTGGCTATTCGGTACACTTTTTAGCGTATACTTCACTCATGAAATCATCACTTGTTGGACCGAGAGCTATGTTGGGAATGTATTTACTTATTGAAAAAAACTTGATTCATTTGTTAGAGAAGAGTATATAAATGAAATAGATCAATACATAATAACTTACACTGTTCTCATTGATAGGATGTGGTCCGACTATCTCCAGTGAAGCTAAATAATGTAAAGATGGGAGCCACGAACCATTTAATTCTAAAATTCCATTTGGTGTCATACCTGACCTTAATAGATAATCGACTGACATATTTACATCGGTTGGATTTCTTGTTATTAAAAGATGACGTATTACTTGAAGATCGCATACAAGTGGGTTTTCTCTAGTAAAAGTTTGAAGTGATTGATGAACAAAAGGTCCATGTCCACCAGTTACACGGGATTGTGGAATAGACATATGAGGAAATGATGTTGATGGAGACTGATGCTGATTAGCTAAGCTGCGCATATCCACATCACCAACAATCCCAAATGGGGATCCGCCTCTGGGTACCTGTTGTCTGAACGATGCAGTATTTTGATATACCTCATAGTCTGCCCAGAATCCAAGTCCCAGAGAATTTAAGCCATCCGAATCAATTTGATATAAGTTCGAATCAAGATCAATATCTAGATTAGGTAGGTCAGAAAGAAGGTCAGGAATAAAGGCACAAATAGGGTTGGAGTTTACTTCCGTTTCCGACGAACTTGCAGAATTTACTGCTTGGAAAATAGACTGGATATATTTTCCACAAGATTCTGGTAAGAAATCCATCTGAATAAAAGAAAGTATGTGACAATACATATATAAAAAGAACCATCTCTATATGAATGTGATCCAAGCAAATTCCACAGTGTTGCTCTTACGAACTTGTGTGGCCTATGGAGTAGATGAGATATCCATCTGCCCAAAATATAACGAATGTACTAGGCAAACAATACGAATCTTTTTAATCCACTGAGGTGGCTAAAGCATGTGTTACTTATTTTAGTTGGTGTAGAAGAGGTAAGTTGAAAGAAGGCTAGCGGCGGCCAAACTGAAGCTTGGCATCAGTCTATAAAGTCACTGATTATTAAACTGAGCCATGTTCGTAGGTGCAGACCACTTAGTTAAGGTGTGAACGATTACCTTTAACAATGGTTAGAAAAGTTGGGTAAAATACTGAATATATTTTACTAACATTGATACTATCAGTAAATAAACAACTTTAGTATTTAAATCAATAATCTCATCCCACTGTGTTTATGTAGTTTATTTATTTAATCGAACACATAAATATTGGTACAAAGGGGCACCGAATACACATACGCCACACAAGTCACCTGATTTGTGTATGGGCTATGATACTGCCCGGGTGCCCGAACCGAAACAGGTGGTTTTCTTAGGGGGCCACCCACGGAGCCTTCGACCTGAAGGTCTGATCCACAAGGTAGTGGAGTAAGGTAAGGAGATGCAGTCACACGGTGACCAGTGACCAACAACAGGTTCATACGCCATTTGTTTTCTCAGGATCCTGGAGCCTATGTGCACCATTGATTTGGAATGAGTGCTTTCCAACTCCCCTAGGTGGACCCTCCATATCCAGCAACCCGGTTAAAGCGCAGGATATTCGCTTTTCGTCTCCTCAATTTCATAAACGCCACCCCCGCCGCAAGAAGGCGGTGAATAGGACTTCCCTAACAGAGTGGCTATATACGCGTGGCCGTGTGAGAGCGTTTCAAGAAAGGACTGACTCTCCCTACCCTTGATCGTACCAGGGAATTTGAAGCGATTTACATAGATTCCATGTTTTCCACTTTTGCAGAATCATCTCCCATGTCAGTGAAGCGGTAAATTATTTATTATTACCCTTATATGTAATATATGGATATTATTATTACATATGTATATTACACTAGCTTTCGAAATAAGAATTCCCAGAATGATAGATTTTAGTAACTAGTTTTCGATAATCAGGCTTTTATGATGAATGGAAACACAAAATACGTGAACTAAAATCCAAAGACAACTTTAAAATCTGTTGGTTAAATTCAAGAAAATACACAAGTAGTGGTAATTCTTAGGGAAGGGATGTTAAAGGTTACCGACATTTATTTGAATATTCAATTTCATGAGTTAATCCTCCCAATATAAAACGGATCTGAAATTATTCATTTTCCCCCAGCTTTCTTTTGTCTTCTGACTTTGCGACTGTGGGATCTATATATTCGAGTGCCGTAGTTGTATACCGCATTATGCGCAAAATGTTCAACAATAAGATAAGGTCATAGCACAATGATACTAGTACAGGTGTGATTATAAAAATAAAAACTAACAAATGTAAACCGTGTTTTTTTGCCTTAAATGAGAATAAGCGAAACAATAACAACTGAAAGAAGTAAGATACTCTTAACTAGAGAGTTAACAGACTTACCAATTTATGTGATACAAGTGTTTTTAATAAATCTTGATAATTCTTTTGTATTGAATTTAACTCATAATTCGATTTAGGAAGTGGTTTATGCACTAAATTACCAAGTAAACAAATCCCTTCTTGAACCAAATATCTTACATATTGACATATAACAATAAATTGAGATGAAGATGATAAGTTCGAATTTTTAGCAGACAGCTTTTCCATTATAGAAGTTAAACAATCAAACAGAAATTCTCGTCCAATTATTACATCGATAAATGGAGGAGAAAATGATGATGATGATGATGATGAAGACGATGACCTGTGTTCTTTTTTTGTTGAACTTTCAAAATTTCTCTCCGGAATATTCATTAACAATTCAGTTGATAATGAAAGTGGCAGTTCTATAGATTCAAACATTAGTCGGTCAACCGTATTACATATATGTACCTGAAAAATAAAACAATATGACGAAATATTAAATATAAAAGTAGGCAAATAAAAATTAGAAAGATGAAAAATGTACAAGGATTAACCAATGAAACAATAAATTTCGTCTTTTTTTTTAAACATACATTGCCTGAAATTCTTCCTCTTCAGTTTAAATGTTTGCAGTGTGAGATACCTTTTTATGGAAGAAAATTAATTAATCTGTTTGGCCACTCACTTTTTCAACACGTCTCTATATTGAAGATTATGAACAATAAAGTCTTGGGTTTGATTTCCAGATGAGAGGTCGATGTGAACTGCTAGAGTCCCATAATGAAACGAAACAACCACCTAATACTTCCAGGATTTTAACAACCTAGATTGGTAGTCTATGATCAGATCATGGTTCGAACTATGGATACGATATATGCGTTGCATGATTAACTTTCATAAAAAAAGAAGTACTGTATAAAAACTAGTACATAAAATCTGTCAATCATAGTTGATATGTGGGACATAAATGTCTATCAGTTCAGATTGGCATAGTTCACATTTTTGAAGAGATGGGGAGAGTAAATTAGTAATTAATTGTTAACTAAGCAGTGACTAGTGTCATATATGTCAAGTTTTTCCTAGTGTTAACCGAATTCTATAGATCAAGTTGCAGTGTGGTCATCATCACCTTACATATTAACATAGTGCAAGTGATGTTGAGTAATTTAGACTAGTGAATACATTGCAACCTGACCGATAGTATTCGATCAGCATTAAGAACTTGATATACAGGGTTTCTTGTTGACTACCTCCAACCACCATTCTACACTGTAGGTAATCAAAAAGATATCCAAGAACATAGCACATACCTTAGTGAATAGTTGATGAACTGCGTTAAAAATTGACATTTTATCATTTGATAATAACTTCTTAGTATGCTTTGATTGTTTTGTAGAAGGCATATTTCGTGCAGTATCGTTTGTATTATCAAGTAAACTAATACAATTATGCAGTTGTTTTAAGCACAAACTTTCTAATTTATTACGAACTCCTAAACTAATTGGAATATATGGATTAGATGAATCATCAATGAAAAATTGGTCCACATTCAGTAAAACTTGATAAAGATGATCTTCTATGGTAGTAAGTAATCCACTACAAACTTTAGATTCCATATTGACGGATGTTGTACTAGATGTATCTAATGGTTGAATCCAAAATATATTGATTGAATCTTTATGATGAGAATCTGATGTATTTACTTCTAATAAACGACAAAATGTTTCTAAAAATTGATTGTCAGACTGGAAAAGTGAAAATTCGTTTGCAATACAGTCTGAAGATGTGTATGATTTGCAAGCACTTAAATAAGCCTGTAGTAATTTCGGTGTAGCTCCTGCTTCATCTAAATATTCAAACTGTAAATTAGACGATAGAAAATATTTTCAAAAAAGTCGGTTACAATAACATGAGGACGAAACACTGGATAACTTAAATAAATTAGCAAAAATAAAAAACGTAGAAAGTGAATCTATAAAGTATGATGACACGGTTGTGTCTATCAAATTAAAAGTGCAACAGTTCTATTGCATAATTTTAAAAAACAATAGAAACCTAGTTTCGTCAACTTTACTCATTTTAAGCAAAAAATTGGTAATAAGATAATATAGGCATGTTCTCCAAAACATCAGTAGAAAATAATTTCCACTTTCGCAAACCGTTCTATCTCATCTTCATACATCTTAAATTGCTTTTACTAAAGTATTTCCTTTAAACTTCTCCAATAAATCCCATGGCCTAGCGTAGAATGGTGGTTCATATGCAAAAGTATTGGACTTTTAGACTTTAGGTCATAGATTCGAATGCTGGATAGAGCATTCCGGGAGTCTGGTAATAGAAACGCATTATTCGTTTCTACATACTTATTGACTACATATTTACTGACTTTGTGCCAAATTAGTGGAATATATCCCAATTATCAAAACTTCGACATTCTCTTTTGTATGTATGCCGTCTTCACTAGACCAGGATAAAATACTCAACTAAAAACTCCTTCCTTCTGAGACAGAATGTATTACAGAAGTAAATGGTTTTATATAAATTTTATACATAGCCATCGACTTAACCGGTTAGCCTAATATTTCGTCATAAGTATACGCAAAATCATTGATATATTTGTGATATCTGGAGATATGTAAAGAGTAAGTGAATAATGATTTAAACTCTGAAAAAGCAATATAAACTATGTCGTGAGACGTCAGAAATTTAAACTTCTACTCACTGAGATATCATAATTTTATTATGAACATTCTATCAAATGCTCAGTTTATTTGATATTATCAAGCTAAGTTTTGATGTTGATGCCTATAAACTAAAAGTAAACTAGAATCAGTCACCAAATGCCCTGGTGCTGCAGAGAGTGAAAAGGGTCCCCTCACCCTCTCTAAATGCTCCCACATGGACATGTGTATATAGCCACTAACAGAGAAGTCCTACTCACTGCCTTCTCACGACAAGGGTGTTGCTTACGAGATCGAGAACGAGAAGCGAATGTCTGGCGATTTAACTGGGTTGGTGAGTATGGAGGATTCACTGAGTGGAATTTGAAAACCATGATTCCAAACTAATCTTGCACATGTGTTCCAGAATCGTGAGGAAGCAGATGGTGTATGAATCTATCATTAGTCACCGGCTACCATGGGATCACATTTCCTAACGTTGCTCTACTGCCTTGTGGATTAGACCTCCATGTCAAATGCTCGAGGACTGGCTCCCTAAGGAAACTACCTGACTCTGTTTTGGTACTCGAACAGTGTCCCAGATTACACACAAATTGAATAATAACTTCTTTGTGTGAATCATACATACTTTGGTACACGTTTGTGCTGTTTATCTGTCCAAATCAAAAATAAAACTAAGATCGAATACAATATGTGATTTGCGTACATTCAGCAAATCAGCAAATAAAACTTGTAAATTGTGAAGAACAACCTGTACAAAAATCTCTCAAGCTCAATTTATGCGACTGAGTCAACTGAGTGGATATGGTTCTTAAAATGAAGGAGAAAAGTTATTTAAATTATATTATCAACTGTTAAACCCGTTAGAAGTGATCGATTTACGATCATTTCAGCTTATAACAACATCGAACTTGACAAATATCAAATCACTCTCCTACCTACTGACTGCAAACACTCAATTAACCATAAACAGAAACTGAGACTACTCACTAGTTGATTAGTAACCTTTTCTGAACAACAGACTCAACGAAAACAAGTGAAACTTGATGTGCTTGCACAATACACTTCGAACAACCTGGTCATGTGTATATACTTGTCAATGTACTTATATATGAAAACTAATGGTCAGTTAAATAAATTTAAGTGAATACAAGTTAATAATTGGAAATTTGGGAAAGATGGTATAATATGGAAAGAGTCAGTTGTCAAAACAACACTATGCATTACAATGGATTAAAAATTACGAGAACCGATTCACAGTTCGACCATATTATTATTCGATTTCGTGGTGCTTAATGACTTCTAGAGGTTTTTACACAAAGCTTTAAAAGATACTGTTAAGTTAATCCTATGACTTGGTTCACCTGTATGTTCTCACCACTTTCAATCTTACTGTTTGAAACTATAGTTCAAAGTCGGATGCCTAAACTGATAAGTTTCAACGAGATCATAAAGGGTCCAAGTTAGATAAACACTGAGTACCTGGAAGCACTGGATAGCTGTTCTGACCTAGTACGGGACTCCTCATCAATGTGCATCCACGATTCTTCAATCGGGAATCGAACCCAGGACGTATGGTTTCGCACGCGGACACTTAACTTCTGAACCACTGAGTTGAGACTCAATGGTGTACTAGTCTAACTTCAATCAACCCACAATACTGCTTGACCATTTTCGATTGTTTTATGTGGGTGACTTCCTCGTATCCAACACAACTGAACTCCACTCGTCACTTCTGGACGAAACAGCTTTGCAAGTTTCCAATGGTTTCTAAACTTAACCCGGTCTGTTATCTCAACAAAACTCAACGACCTCCACAACCGTATACTGATGATGTCATTGCCCAATTACAGTGACCATTTCCTCACTACAAAAAAACACTGAGAGATTACAACATCTCCAACCAAGTCAGAGCCTTCCCACATAGTCAAACTTTCTAATTTTGAATTTGTGAAATGAAACAGCCATTATATTACCGATGCCTCTCAATTCATTCATCCAAAAGAAATATCTCTAAAATATGATGACATTCAAAATCTTTAAAAGCTACAGTCTAAAGGGATGAGAAAAAGAAAGTTGTTTTCATTTCTGGTAAATAACAAGACAGTTATTTATCATTTGTAATATAAACCATGTAGTGCAAGTTAATTATTGCTTTTGAACATCTGTCAATAAAATGATAAAGTCATTCACCGAATAACTACATAAATGTAAAATACCTTTTGATCTTGCATTTCATCATAAGCGATTTGAAAAAGTTTCTGTGATTGAGTAAACTGTTGCTGCTGAAAGGCATACCTTCCGAGTACAAAGTTAAGCGATGCAGAAAGATAGCTTTTAGAGAGAGGTATAGAGTTATTAAGAACAAAATCTGATAGACCGTTATGGTTCTGATCATCCTGAGCAGACTTAATCTTTGGTTCAAAAACTGTAGGAAACATGGAATTCAGCGCTGAAAACACTGAAGGAAGAGGTCTAGCTATGTTGAGATCATCCAAAAGACTGTTGATTTCGTTTAGCTGATTTACAGACTCTTGTATGCGAGTGAGAACAACGCCAACTTCCACGCGATTATCCGCAAAAAACGCCACCTCAGGAATTTCAGTTAAACCAGAAACAATAGGAGTAAGATTTCGAAAGGGATGTGGCAGCATACTGGATGTATGAGATACCTAAACTATATTAATATCATGTGAATTCACAAACATACATGAAGGCACCATATATGGTAAGACATTAAACCATAAATTGTCATAGGATTTAACTGAGACCATCTATAGTATCCGTAAGGATTTATAATGAAAATATTTTCTTTATTTATCGCATTTTCAAACAGATGTTGTAAAACTGATGAAAATCTTGAAGTACTCATGACGAGCACTCTATAGAGACGTGCAAGAAGCTTAATGGGCATTTCTGATATGACTCGAAAAAGATTTAGATTGAATTTTAGATTAGCAGCAATCTGTAAGGATATTATATCCAAAACTTTTGACTTTTTGAATAACCTAGACGACTCGACAAATATGTCATCAGGATTCATAGTTTCATTTTCTCCGATGAAGTTGTCCACTGAATTATTTTCACAATTAGTGAGACTAGTTTTTCTTTCACTTATTTCAGCCTGTGATAAGGATTGTTTAAGCAACTCCAACTGATGTGATATAGTTAGACCCTCAATATCCGATAATAATTTATTTGGTTGGGCAAGATAAAACAACCAATCTTGTTCAACATCATCAACTTTCATTTTGTAGTTTATTGGATGTTATACTGTTTCTGAAATATATAAAATGAAAATGTTCATTAAAGAGCTTATGGTACATAAATATGGAGTAATTTATTTTACAAAATGCTTGAAAACAAAGTTTAACTACAATGTATGTGAACATGCATTACTGGGACAATTTGAATCAATTAAATAAAACATTCAGATACAACTTTCTGTATTGCTACCAGCGCTGGTTACGAAACAGAAATCAGCGCTAAAATCCTTAAACTGTGAGTCAGCTGAATTCTTACAATAAAACGTTTCTGTCTGCATAGCAATTCTATAAAGCTTATCCACAATTATTTATGAATGACATTTCAAACATTTATACTTCCCAACTTCACGAACCAAAGATTGAACACATTGACTTTATTGACAATATTTCAACAAAAAACAGTTGTGATAGATGACAACCTTCAAACTTTGAAGAAAAAAGATGCTATTTGGTTTAAATCCGTTACCAGCTAGGCAGACGAGTGTGGAAAAGTTGCTTCTTACGACTCTCAAAACCATCAAAAAAGAACGTACTAAAAGTACGAAGGATTTTAGAAATGGAAAAATCAACAGGACTGAAAGGGCTGTACCCCAAAATCCTGAGACAAGTTAAATCATACATTTTTACCCAGCTGACAACGAACTCTGGAATACTACTCAGCCAGAGTAAGTTACCTGTGGACTGAGAAAATGCAACTGTCACTCCAACTTACAAGATATGATCAAGACAACACCAATCAAACTACAGATCTATCGGCCTCATTAGCGTCGTAGTTAAAACGCTGGAGAGTAACTAAAAAAGCCGTTATGATCATGGAAACTAACGACTTGTTAGTCAGTGAGAAACATGGTTTCAGTAAAGGACTATCCCGCATAACTAACCTCATTATAGCAAGAGAGTGATGAACCGATTCGTTCAATAATAGGAAACCAGCTGGCGTTGTTTACGTTGAAATCAGTAAATCATTTAATGCGGTATCGCATAACAGACTTTTCCCAAAACTGGAAAAGCTAGGGCTTGAAGTACCTTTTTCTAAAACGGATCAAACATTTATTGATAGGTCGTCGACAAAAAGTAAGAGTAAATTTCAAATATTCCTCATCGAAACCAGTACTTAGTAGAGTACCACCAAGCTCTGTTCTAGGTCCTTTACATCTACATTTTATGGTGATGAACTCAAAATTTGGAGGAAAGTAACGGGGATGCAGAAGCATGTGCACTACAGCTCGGACCAAACATTCCTCTTAGCTGGTCTAAAACATAGTCAATGCCTATCGACGTGGTGAAACGTATCTACATGCACATTGCCGATACAATAAAATGCGCTTGGAGGAGGCGTTGGTGATCTTAGTTTTGTTTTGGGATGATCGGGTAATAGTGAGCCACGACCTCAAGACCATGCCTCACAGAAGTGCAGCTGCAGCTAAAAGTTTTAGAACCCTATGAACCTTAAGACAGACATTTAACATATTGGATACAAGCATGTTCACCATAGTATACATCACCTTAGTGTGATTCAAACTTTACAACTGCGTTCATGTTCATCTCCTGTTCAAAAGGTGACTCATACATCCTGAAATAAGTACAAAAGAAAGGGACCCACGCAAATCTAGAGACCTGGGGTTTGCCACACACAAGGCAGCTTAAGAAGTTATCGCGTATCAAGGGGTGACTAGATTTCGATGTAGAAAATCCCAATAAATATTTTCATATCAGACAAATATCCCGTTTTTTCACTTTACTAGTTTATGACAATCCAGTGAACATGAAAATCTAGCTCAGAAACCAAGGACAAGTAAAATACTCTTTGTATATATGTTTTCTTATCAAACTACCAACTCTTAGGATCTGCTACCTGAAGAAGTGTTGTTCGCACCTCCAGCTCGTGGAAAGACTAGAAACTCACAGGAGCTTGTCGGAAAAGAATAAGCAGAGGAGGCTGAGCTTTAATCCTTAATAAACAAACGTGAATCTGAACACTCAACCTACTCACAATTGTGAGTAGGTTGTAACATTAATTTCACAAAACCGCGTAGAATCTATGTTAGGTACGTCCTTGAAACCATCGTCGTACATTTGTTGAGGTAGAAGATACTTTGTATATTTCAAGTATTTACATTTATAATGTACGCATTCTAATGAACATTTTAATATCTAACAGTGAGTTCAACGTGACGTTGAGAGTTGTCATCAAAGACAACCCAATTTCCCAAGTTTGGTGAAATTTTAAGTGGATCCCCAAAGCCAAATGACCCTCACCAATGTTAAGAGGTAATATTGAGATTTTAGTGCCATTTCCCAAAACTTTTCTATAGAGGCTTCTCCAAAATTTCCACAAAATGGGTCAAACTTTACCCAAAATTGGGAGATTAAGGACATTCAGCACCATGTCGTGAAATAATGGACGAAAGTGTTATCTCACGATAAAATGTTTTATCATCCTGGGGCGTGACTACAAAAATTTATCAGTTCATACACAGTTACCGCGACTAAATTGTAATGAATGACAAAAACACCTTTGGAGTATAAGTAACGCCACTGTTAAAACCAGCGCTACTGATTTTGTGGAGATAGGCCTGACAAGCTTGTTTTGTAAATAGTTCTCAATGTTATTTGTATTTATTTTGTCATCCTTACACTGTATGTATATTTAACACTAAATGACTGTAACTGTTTTTTTAGTAAATGACCATGAACACACTTTCCGTTATGATACTGACATAGCGTGACATACTCTTGCTGGCTAACAAATACACTACTACTCACACATTCCTCGTTCTATCTTCGTTTGTGGTTGAGTTAACTGAATTCTAAATCAAATACTATCGTTATTTATAGACTGTAATTGGAATATATCACATTCTACGTTGGATTATATCACTGCAGAATTCGTCAACACTCGCAGAATCACCAAGCATTTATAATTTTGGATTTACAATACCAGACCCAATCAGAACACGCAACATTTGGTCAATTTAAGTAACGTCTCAAATTTTTATTGTATTTGTAACAATTAACTGGTATATATTAATATTACTATTGATCTTTAGTAACTTTGTTGATACTTTTCGCGTTCATATCTGTCTGGTCCACCACAATTTCAATCCTCAAAAATAACTTGGTTCTTGAGTAACGACGAGGTTTAATTAATCGTTAGACTGTGTTCTAGAGAACATATGAAAGATACTGTTACTATCGCTTCGACCGAAGAGATCGAAAATTTGAAAATTCCGAATATTAAAAAATGTACACGCGATTTTCTGTTTTTTCTTCTTTATTCTCTGCCAAATATATGCCTTTTTACATTTAATTCAGCAACTAAGCATATCAACAATCCTTTGATGGTGTCACTGGTTCAGTCAAAAAGGTTTCAAATCAAAAGTCATTCGGAGGGACGAGTAAGGTTAGTCCCGAGACCTTCTGGATTTTTCTTATCTGAATTTATCGGGAAAGTGGTTCTCTTTTCAGGCATTGAGAACAAAATGGGATATTTTCCAGGTTTGGCTGTCAGTAAATACTAAAAACGGTTCTGAATAGCTCTCAAGACATGCTACTTAACGTTCTGGAAAGGGATAACAAGGTAGTGTATACTTCATTGGCAGCAAAATCACAGTATTAAGATGCGCCCGAATTCTCACACGGGGTAAACCCCAGAATGTAGTTTGGTCGCAAAGGGCCGTCCATAAAGGAAGAGGTTTGAAAAGCTCCGTTACTCTTCACCATTATCAATCTGCGGTGGGACTTTCTATTGGTCCTGCTACAAATCTCATACGAGTCTTCCTTTGCACTTAGTATATCAACAGGGACTGGTGTTTCGGACGAAATCGAGAGCGCCGGGTAGAATAATAATTAAAGATAAGGAAATGATTAGTTCAAAGACTGAATCGCTTGCCATTCAACTTGTCACATGAAAATAAGTCAAATAGGACAGAGCTAATTCCGACAGCTTATGATCCCCGTAATCAATGTATATTGACTGATTGTATTTCAGTGAACTAGACGATCCCGTCAGATCATCAGCATCTCTTTGTCAGAAACCCTCCTGAAAGGCTCCACAGCTACTTCATCGATCTCAGAACTAGTCTCAGGCCTTACTAAAACTACGAACAAGTAATAGGGTCTTATTATATGACCTGTATCCAGTTATTATATTTTTATTGTAGCAACTTCAATTTACGCTTATATAGCCTGAGCTGCTGAGACTATCGGTATTTGACTTACTTACAAATTGCTGCCCACTAAAACATAGCATCCATTTGTGAAAATTATAGGTTCCGCATCAACATTTTTTGTACTTACCTCCCATTAGTTCGAGCGGGTAATTCTTGAGCATGATGCTGCCTCCGGATGAGATAGTCATTTTTCAGACAATCTCCCCAGAACTTCACAGGAGCAGTGTTGTCGTGATCTCTGAGTAAAGACCTAGGCCTATGGGAAGAGAGGATACTGAACCAATACACCCAATGAAGTGACTTTATCCTGGTTCCTCTCAGGTATTGAACACCAGTTATTTGGTCCTCGTCTTTCTACGTAAACATGGTGTCGCGATGTTTCTGTGGTATCAAGATTTTGATTTAAGTGAATAAAAATAACGATACACCCTACATGTCTTTTATATTTAGTGAATTTAAATGTCTTTACCTCATACTGTTCGACAAAATGAAAAATAGTTTACCAAAATGGAATACTATTCTTTCCTTCTTCATATGAAAAATGGAAAAAAAGAAAAGAACGATAATCCTGTTATATTTTGGGACACAGTTATTGTTTATTATGCTGATAAGTGACAAAAATTGGTAACTACTTATTGTCTATTAACTAAACGTAATCATAATTGTTAGGATATACAATATCCTTTCGGAACAAAACTTATACAGATAAAGTTTTCAGCCAAATGTATATCAGCACTTGACTGCATGCGTACTAGGCATTAAGCTGCAGACAAACTTTATGTTAGTTAGACGATTAGTTCTAAAATTGTGATGTTATTTTTGACAACCAGGTATACAAACTACGGCTTTTCCTGGTAACAACATAAATCCATTTAAAGCTCCAGGAATTTCGCACCTTATTATTACCTGTAAGTGGCAAAAATATATGGCCATGAAAAGTCTGCCATTAGTTTCAAAGAGGCATTACACAAATAATAAACGACTCTCAAATTATAACACATACACATGTAAGACTCGAAACGTTTGCGTGTTATATTTTATCACGAAAATATGTCAACTGATTTCGCACGAGAAACTGGTGGGTGAGTACCACCAGTACTACAGCACTTTATAAGATAATGACGAGATTATAAATACATTAGTAGTACCTTCGTATTATTTTCGAGGAAAAACTTTCCGATAAACAAGTATTTCAATTAACTGCAATATAGTACTATAACAATTTTATTAAATGTCAGGTTACTTTTCCAAACTCTCACGGTTCAATAGATAAATTTGAAATAGTACATAGTCGGCTGCATCTGCATGACAAGCTTTTAAGAAGCGTTTACTTGGATACGTAGTAACTATCCTTTCGGGAGGTAACATTCTAATGATTACATGCATTACAATACAAGAAATTCAGAAGTAGTCACTAATCTTAGAAGAGCGACACCTACGTCATTAGTACATCGAAACAGGCATTCATCTCAGAATCTGTGTAGGGACTTTAGAAAAGACATCTCGTTAATCACTAATATACCTTTGTCACGTATTTGCTTTCTTATATACTTTTTAATATTTAGTAGGACATAAACTTGGTCCAACAGCTTACACACCTTGCGTTTCCCACAAGTTGCTAATCCTACTTAAGTATTTCATGTTTTAAATCAGTCCGATTCAATTGACCTCTGACTATGGTGGCTGCCCCAATCGTTTGATCTTAGATCGATTCATTCCATCATTTCATTTTTCTACTGAATTACGTTTCAAGTTTTACTGGAAGCGCCTTTTTGACAAGTAATTATCTTTTGTTGCTCTTAACGTCAATATTTTTCATTCCTCTATACCTTTGATCATTCCATTTTGAATGGGTCAAAATGATATATCCCGTAGTTTGGAACTGTGCTCTTCGCTCGGCAAGACTGCTGTTATTTTCTGACAGGTAGTAGTTTTGAGGTTCCTCGTAGTTATTTTTGGTAATTATATAGCCTTATTGTATCCACTTTCGGAGATATGAGCTGTTGATGGTAAATACTTTACAATCCCGTTGGTTCAGTAGGTTGTCTAGTAGTACACCCATTTGGGAACATCATCCACAAGCTCGTATAAACTGAGGGCAATATTTTCGAAGTTACATCAACACTGACAACGGTCCATACCAATAATACAAACATGAGTTCGGATTGTAAATTGTGGTGTTCCTGATCATTATGTCTGTAATCCTTGTTGTTTACCGCTCTAGAAAGGCTTTCTCACTCGGTGACAATACTCACTATCATGGCACAGTTGTTTGTGGTTCATGAGAATGGTTATATATATATATATATATATATATATATATATATATATATATATATATACGTTTAACTTAATGTTCAAAAATAGTATGTGCGCACCAAAGGCTTCTTTTTGTTTGCTGTCAATGTATTTCGGTTACTCATCATGAAAGATTGAAGTGAAAGTCATCACGCGTGCAAAAAAGTGTCACTAAAATCGTAGAGTGACTTTTCAGTGACCCTGGATCTCAACTACATGATTCCTGTAGCCGAACGTACGATAACTGAGAAGATTTACACTAAACATTTGACACAAAGAATGTCGAAAATGACCATTTTTTGTAAACACTGATATCGAACCGGAAAATTCTTATGTCATTATTATGCTATAAATCTCTTGGTTCTGGTGCCTTTTGTTTGATATTTGAGTTTAATAATACCTCGAGGATTGTTTGTGACGACCGAAAGCCAATATCCGGTTCGAACGCAAAACTAGCGAACCAAAATATATTCGATTAGACCAGACTACGTTCGTCCGTACAGCACACAAAGCGTTTTTGAGTTACTCGTATTAAATTATATCAAAACAAACTCTGCGCTCAATTTAAATGGTTCTAATTCAGGAAAGAAAACAATTTATCTCGAATATACGAAATACCTCGAACGGTTCAACCTGTGCTATGCAGTTAATGGTTTCTCTAACACAAACTGGCGTCCTAAACAACAAAAGAAACAGTTGTTAAAAAATAGTTCAATACATGAGAATGAATAAAAATGTTCCCAACAAAATGGGATCATATATCTATCTGCAGCAGCATTTAAAAGCAGACATTCAAAGGTTAACAGTCACACACTGAACCTAGCCGTGACCTTGATACTAGTCAAACACGACTTTATTGTCAATATTCCGGCATCATGCAATAGAAAATTGGGCAACAAAATGTGAGTCTTTGATCAAAACCACATGTTAAATTAAAGCTCAGACAAGGATGACTGAAGATCACAAAATGTGGATAAAAGATATCTGAATAAAGGCTAAAATACACGACAGGGAGGAGAAACAAATAAATGACAGTACTGTCCAACGAAATGCTGCAAATGGATTTTCAGTGT